TTCCACACATAGTTAAAAAATTCTACCTACTTCTGAGGCTCTATTTGAAAAATTGTACATTATTTGCATATAAATATTTAACAGTAAAAGTTGTGGTACACGATCTACACAGTGGAAATATCATGTGTTCATGGCAATGATGAAGGGTAGATGCAGCCTTTCTCAGCTTTGGTTGACTAAAGTATGATTAAGAAAATACATTTTCAAAAAGAAAAAAGTGCTAGGAATCTCTATATAGCTGTCCTTATCTCAACTAGCAAAAATGCTATGCCTTTCTTATTGCTTATTACTACTCTTCAACAGAACTGGAGAAAAGTGCAGAACAGGTTCTGCCTGGAAGCGAGGGTGGAGAGGAGGAAAGGAGGGAGGCTGGGGGGCAGGAGGGAGAAATGACCCAAACAATGTATGCACATGTGAATAAATGAATAATAAAATAAAGAAAAAAAATGTTTACCTGGGTCTTTTTCCATCATTTTCCATTGTCCTAAGATGGTCTTAGGACCTCAGAGCACATTTTCTACTAAGGGACATTTTCATGGTCTCTACCTTCACTAGACAGAAGCTCTGCAGCAAACCTTGACTGCGGGCAGCCTTGAGAGACCTTTGAGTGTTTTGTAGAGGCAATGAATGAATATTTGATTTACAGATTGTCTACAAAAGAGAAACAGCTACAAACCAAAGGTTGATTTTGTCTAAGAGATTTTGTTTAAATGCATAAGTCAATAAATAAACCACCAAATCAATAGAATATTAATCTGGGCACCAGTGGTTTATGTCTGTTATCCCAAGCTATGCAAGAGGCTGAGATTAGAAGGATCGATGTTCCAGGCTAGCCCCCCAAAAAGTTTGTGACATCCTATGTCAATGGAGAAAAAACTGGGTGTGGTTGTTCAACCTATCATCCCAGCCAAGGAGAGAAGCTTAAGTATTGTGTTCATGTTGGTCCCACCAAAAAGAGAGAGAGAACCTATCTCCAAAATAACTAGAGAAATAGGACTGAAGTTGTGGTTCCAAAGAGCACCTGCCTAGCAAGCTAAAGCCCTGAATTCAAACCCCAAATCTCAAAGAAAGGAATATTTAAGTGAATGTAGCCAAAGCATTCACTTAATTTAACTGTTTTATTCATAATATTTATTGAATTAAAGCCTTTTCAGTATTGTCAGATATAATGTGAGATTTTAACATCTTACATTTACTAGCAGTTTACAGTTATTTTATCTTATTATAAAACTATAACAGGGAGCCCTCAGAGATTAGATCACATTCCCAAAGTCATCCACCTTAATCCTAGCATATGCCAGAGGTCCTAATGTCAGCTTTTACATTCTAAAGTAAGAGTTCTCTGTCTTTTATCCAAAAATGGAACTCCATTTGGTAATATCTTCTTTAGAGAGGAAGAACAAATCTATTTTGCATAAGTTTTGTGCTGTGTGATGCATTCAGACTTATTATAACAACTATCCCTTCCAAAGGTAAGCATTTTAAAATCAGAAACCTTGCTCACATTTGTGGTAAAATCACAAAAAATTATCCAATAAGCTTTTCTCCATTTTTCAAAAAACAAAATTAATCCCACTTTTCCAGAGTATGGTAATAATTGAGAAGTGGAAATGAAGCTCCAACAATAAAGGAAGCACTGAGTGAAAGATATTTTATAATTATATTTCTGTGATTTATTTCATGACAAGTTAAGCTGTTCTCACTTTATCTGGTGAGAATTACAACCACCCATTTTATGTGTCTCACAGAATATGGAAACAAAATATTTACAGAAATCAAAGTATGCCTGTGGTTTTGTGACCCAACCAGCCTCAATGTATATTAACAGGCTGAGCCCTGTCAGAGACTTGAGAGCATAGTATTTAGGTCTGACACAAATTCTTCAAGCAGGCGTTCTTCCACCATCTCAGCTGCAGCTCCAGAACTAATCTAGGGTCTGCAGAGCTGGATATGATTTTGCTTCCTGATGTTGTCTTCTGTAGGCTCTTCTGCATGCTATGACACAGTAAATTCAGATAACAATGCTGACTACAAGGTAGTTGACAAAAGATAATTTTGAAAGAATAGATTCTGATGAAGACAAACTTAGAAAAGTAAATAGAAATGTAATGTTTAAATGTTATTTTATATTAAATATTTTATTTTAAATTACTGTCTCAGAGTTGATTTTGTATTTAATTTTTTTATCTTTTAAGAGCATGGAAATATATACTTATGTATGTTTAGAGTGCATTAAATACATATTTACAATTATTGCATTTGTAGAATTACTACTCTTTACATGTACCAGATTTTTTACCTGAATACCATTATAAACTTATAATAATTTACCAGAGATAAGAAATAGCCTCTAAACACCTGAAATATCATTTTTGAAAGTCTATTTTAATCCTTAATCTGAAGCTTTATACATCAGAACAAAATTCTTCCTAGAAGAAAGATTTCATATTTTCTATGTCATAATTCCTCAAATGGCATTGAAACAGTGTGTAATTGCATGAAAAAAATAAGTTTTATTGTTTAAAGAAAAATTGAATAGGGTGAAGCGAGGTATATACATAAGTAGGTGTATACATAAGTATACATCTAGTCAAAACAGTTAATATTCAATAATTAATACTTGTTGGACAATATATAATAACAACAAACCAATATATAGTTTAATTTAAAAATTCCAAATACATTGTTTATGAGAGAACCATCAAGTTGTGTTTGCTGAGGAGGCAGCTACATGTTTCTTTTGTTTTTCTAAGATAAAGATGCATGGTTAACAAACAAAGATACTTAATGAGGCAGTCAAATAGTCCCAAAATTCTCAATATCAGTAGCCATTAGGGAAGCAAAACTAAAAGTAGAATGAATTACTGCTACAAACATGAGAATTATTAAATTAGGAAAGGTTGATGATATTTAGAGCAACTGGATCGTGTGTGCATTGCTGGTCAGGATGTAAGACTGAACAGTCACTCTCAAAAAACAACTTGTTAAAAAGCTCATCATCACTGGACTGGCAGTGGTAGACTCTCTCAAGTGGTAGAGCGTCTGCTCAGCAAGCGTGAGGCCTTGAGTTCAAACCCCAGTACACACACAAAATGGTCATGATCCATCTACCAAAATTGTACAAGCATGTGATCCAACAAACGCAGCTTTAATTACAACAGATTCAAACAGAAAGTAGTCCAGATATACGTTGACACGTACTGGGTGAACAAATGGTCCTATTTTGGACAGTAAACGAATAATATCAATTTTAAAAAAGAAATTACAGAATATAAAAATGTAGGAGAATCTTATCATCATATTAAACTGAGAGAAAGAGACAAGATATCAGAAGTTGGTTTCCACTGATATCAAAGTTTACGACAATCCAAAGGGCAGAATGGGAAAAGATTCAGGACTAGTGCTGTGTCTGTGGTAGGAGTTTTACTAGAAAAGGCAAGGGACCTTTTTGTAATTTGAATATTCTGCCTTTTCATACTGGTATGTTACATATGTAGGTACTCATTGAAATTGACTGAAAGAAAAGCCACCATGCACATTTTACTATTGAAAACTACAACTCAATTTGAAACAAATGGTAGTTTAACTTCAAAATTACTTGAGTAGTTAGTTCTTTCTGAGTAAAAATTCATTGTGGGATACAATGTAGAAATATTTTACAAAGAGGTCAAGCATGGTGGTGAAATGTAATCTTAGATACATGGGAGGCAGAGAACAGGATTGTCACATTTTGAGGTCAGCCTAGGCAAAAGTTCATGAGACCCCATCTGAAACAAAACTGGCCTTGGTGGTGTGAGCCTCTTACCCCAGCTATGTGGGAACCATAGATAGGATATTAACCAGGCTGACTGGGGCATACATGGGAGACTCACACTCAAAAATAACCAAGAAATAATAATAAAGAAAACAAAGAGGTTGGGGCATGGCTCAAGTTGTAGAGCACCTGCCAAGCAAGTGCAAGGCCCTGAGTTCAAGCTGAAGTAAAAGAAAATTCTACAATAAATTTGTAACTCACAAATTTTTAAGAATTCAGAATTTTATTTCTGATGACAATTCTATAATTAACCTACAGCATGCAGGTTCATCTGCAATTCAAAGTGAAACAAGAGAAAAGAAAAAAAGAAAAGAGAGAGAGAGGGAAGGAAGGAGGGTGGGAGGGAGGGAGGGAGAGAGAGAGGAAGAAGAAGGGGAAAAGGAAGGAGAAGGGGAAGGAGAAGGGAAAAGAAGAAACACCAGAAACATATCTAAGTGGATAGGCAGTTCTATATGTGGTTTTCCTTTCCACAGTCACAGTTACTGGCTGCCAACTCCAGACTGAAAAATTTGAAAATCTGAAAAAATTTGAAACAGTTGAACAACCCAACTGTTTCAAATACACACACTTTGAGAAGCACAGTGATATAGCACAATCCAGGTCATCTCAACCAGGACTGGAATCTATTCCTCTTGATCCAGAATATCCACGCTGCACACACTACTCATCTGTCAGTCACTTAGAAACCTGTTGCTGTTATCAGCTGTTCAGATGTGGTCTCGTCGTTCTTGAATTCAAGCAACATTTGCTTTACTTAATAATAGCCTCAAAGCACAAAAGCAGCAATGCTGGTAATTCAGGTATTTCAGAGAGAAGGTGTAAATTCTGACCTTATATGAAAAGATGAAGGTTCTCCACTTAATAAGGAATGAAAAATACTTGTATTCTAAGGTTGTGAATATCTGCAATAAAAACAATTGTACTGTGAAATTGTGAAGAAGGAGAAAGAAATGTGTGCTGGTTTTGCTGTGGCACCTCGAGCTGCAGAAGTCCTGGCCATTGGGCAGAACTAAGTGAAGAGAGAAAAGGCATTAAATTCAGGTTGTGGTACTCTACACTGGGCATCTTGGAATATATCTTATGTGGATAATGGGGGACAATTGTATACTTTTCCTCCAGAAATACCACAAAATCACTTTGTACAACCATGATAGCTGGGATCAGTCAGTGCATTGTTAGTAATGAATTAAAGAGCACAGCGGGCAATACACTTTCTCAGAGCGCCCTTGACCTCACTGTTCCTGAGACTATAGATGAGGGGGTTCAGCACAGGGGTGAAGATGGTATAGAATGCTGACACAACCTTGTCGTGGTTAGCTGACCTGTAGGATTTGGGTCTCATGTAGATGAAAGTGGCAGCTCCATAAAAGAGGCCCACCACAGCCAAATGTGAAGAGCAGGTGGCAAAGGCTTTCTTGCAGGCTTCCGTGGAATGCATGCAGAGGACAGCAGTGAGGATGAGACTGTAGGATGTCAAGATGAGGAAAAATGGAATCAGGAGCATCAGCACACAGCAGATGTACATGAGATACTCAAACACAGACGTATCCCCACAAACCAATTGCAATAATGCAGGGGCCTCACAGAAGAAATGATCAATCTCACGTCCACTACAAAATGGGAAGGTCAAGGTAGCAACTGCCTGCATGAGCCCATCAGCTGCTCCGAGGAGCCAAGACCCCAAAGTCATTCTCAGACATAACTGCCAGCTCATGAGAATGGGATACCGTAGTGGGTGGCACACAGCCACATAGCGGTCATAGGACATGGCAGCTAAGAGGAAGCACTCCCCACCCTCCAGAGTGAGGAAGAAGAAAATCTGCAAGCCACAGCCAGCAATGGAGATGGACTTCTGTCCAGTCAGGTAGTCAGCAGCCATTTTGGGCATCGTGGTAGAAACCAGCATCATGTCTATGAGGGAGAGTTGGCTCAGGAGGAAGTACATGGGTGTGTGGAGCCTGTGGTCCTGGTGAATCAGGAGAATCATGAGGGCATTGCCCACTAGGGAGGTGAAGACAATAGTTAGAATCATCACAAAGAGAACTTGGTGGGCTCTGGTGTGGTTAAGCAGTCCTAGGAGAATGAAACCAGATGTGATGTTTCCATTTTCCATGATTTCAAACAGAAATGACACTGTGAGTAGAGAAACACACAAGTGTCATCATTTGCAATGCTCTATTTGAATTATGTATTTATACAAAATTACTCATGTGAAAATGTTGAAACTTACTTCAAATCCTTCATGTGATATTTGCAAAATGTTTTAACATGGGCATGAAATGTACTTCAGCTTTTTCTCATTTTCAAGATTTACACAATACATACTCCACAGGTTTAGTAATCAGCATAATGCATTCAAATTCTCAGTAAGTTACAGCTACCATATAAATGTGATTTTCCATTTACTGACACCTACATAAGTGAATAAAATAGAAATACTTCACATATATGTCCTTTATATTTGTTCTTGCATTACCTCTTGTATAATCAATACTCTTAGAAGTTGAATTAAGTAAATATGTTACTTATAAGCTAGGTACTTGGTAATGGAGGTTATATATCTAAAATATATCAAAATTTATTTAAATGACTAGATTCAGGAGATTTCCCCTACCATTGATGAATGCAGAAATACCATTCCAAAAAAAGGACTTACATTCTCTGATTTAGAAGCTTGGAAGACAGAGCCTGCAGATGTAGCATGGCCTTATTTCTTGTTGGTAGTACATATAGTTCTATTTACAGAATCAAATACTTAATGGTTTTTGGATTTCTCGTACAGTCCAAAATATAATGTAAAATGAACACTTTAGTTAATTGTTATAAGCTTTTTGCTGTAATGGTCAGTTTCTTCTCACAATCACACAAATGCTTTCCTGAATAATTGGGAGATCCTAGTTCTTTATCCAACTGTGGAGAAAAAAAATGATTTCTTCTTCATTTCCAAGAGAATATAAATCTTTAAGGCCTTTTTTACCTTTAATGTCCTGGTGCCAAAACTATTCTTCCTTCTTGGATTCAATTGTGCAGAGCTGCAGAGATGTGGATACTAATTATTCTAAAGGATACTGTCTAATGCAATGCACTTCCATGGCAGAATGGGTCTGTGTTTTTTGGGAGCTGTGCCTTCTCCCCACTTTTTACAACTACCAGTGCCCAAATGGTAATTGTGGCTACACTGGCATCATGTAGCCCCTTAACGACACTTCTTCAGGGTTTTGATTGGTTACTTAAAAGTTGAGCATCTTGGAAATACTTCCCTTTGGTGAATGTCTCTTGCATTTGCTCAAACTCATGGCTTGAACACCCTCTCAGCTCTAGTGTCAGTCCCCATAGTAGGAGCCACATCAAAAACTGACAGTGGCTCTGAGTCTCATACATTGGTGTAAACATGAAGCCCTCCTATCTGACTTCTTTTCATTCTGGACTTAGGTTTCTTCACTACTACAAACTCTCAGTGTTGCAGGTTGAGCAAACATTAAATCTGTGTAAAAAGCATTCTATAATTTAACTGTGTGGTGTTGGATAATTCCTTAAATTAGTATTGCTGCCACATTAATTATTTCATGTGTATAGTCAGTACAATGACATTAACTACCTTACATTGCTGTGCAAACATCATCAATATCCACCTCAAAAATTTTTCATTTCCCCAAACTGAAACTTAGTATTCATTAAACAAACTCATTGTTCTTTCCTCTCTTCAGCTGCTTGCAACCACAATTCTTCCTTCCTCTATAAACCTGATGCCTCTAGGAAGCTCACATGAAGGAATTATACTTGTCTGCTTGGGACTGCCACCTTTCATGGGCAGAATGCCCAGAAGATTCATTGATGCTGTATCATGTGTCAGAATTTCCTTCCTTTCTAAGAGTCACTGATACTCCATTGCAGGTATGTAGTACACCTTGTTATTTATTCATGTGCTTCTGGCCATCTGTCCTGTTTCCATTCCCTTTGCTAGGGATCTGCATATGATTTTAATGGGATGTTTGGCAACAGATGTGGAGTTTGTGTTTTGATAAGGAAATTAGATATCACATGAAATATAGCAACTCCACCGAATCTTTTTTTAAACCACACAAAAGATTTTTATGTTTTTATAGAATTAATTCAACAATCACCATGAGTTTTCAGTTTAGATAATACATTCTCTTACTATGAAGATTATAACTGTACTTAAGTTTTTTATATATTTGAAATCATTTGCTTTTGATTTTTAAAAGGAGATAAGTGATATGTATATTCTTTTAAAGGTGAAATCAGTGAATGAATGTGATTAGCCATTTTGCATGTAACTGTCTAATGAACATATTACATTAGTTAGATTACTTAATGGAAAGATCAATTAAATATATCAATTAATACAATGAAAAGTATTTTTCTGTAAAATGTAATAATGCTTTTAAATTGCTGCCTGTATTATACAAAAAAGACAATTTGCTACTAATTGTAAATCTATACAAAGCAGATTATCTAAGATAAATTTCTAAAAAAATTGACCACAGAAACATAGAATGTTTGAAGTTAGTTATAAAATGCTAGCTTATATGTGCTGCAACACCAACTGCCACTACAAGGAAGAGTGATGAGTGATGGGTAGAAAAAGTTACTGTCCTGAAAAACAAATATTTCCTTTTCCTTCCTTCATTATGTGTTCAGATGTTAGAGATTTCCTAACTACATCTTCTGCTTCCACAGCTTTTTATTAGAATGGTGTGAAAAATGAGATATCTCTACTAGTCACTCAAGTCTTTTACATTAAATCAGAGACACAGGTAGATTTTTTCCTTTTCCTACACACAAACCTTTGAGTAATCACAAAAAAATTCAGAATGTTGAAACTTTCCTTCCTATATTTTTTCCAAATTCATTTCAAAAATGTAATTTTAAAACTTTACATTATTTATCCAAGAAACTGAGATGAAAATCACTAAGTACTGCATGAAAAATCATAAAAATAGATGAATCAATTATTTAACAGAATTAACCTGATGACAGCATTGGCTATCATACACTTTAATTTTTCAGATGCTTAGATGTATAATAGAATTTTCTTCTGAATTGTACAGACCAAATAGTTGATTGGATATACTGAAGTTCAAACATCATAGTAAATGGTCAGATATTTTAAGAGGTTGGCATGACCTACCTATAGAAAATTACAATGATGACCCAATTGGCTGGATCTACATCCTGTGTGAAAAGTATTGTTGTGATGCCCTCTTTGTGGAAAGATCTGTTCTAGCTGTGTTCACCACACTTATATCAGTGTCTGGACTGAACTCTTATGGGGACTGGCATTCTGCCAGCCTTGGCTAAAAACATTGTTATGTTAACACACCAGAGTTGCTAAGTATTAAGTGTCAAGGATGTTTAATTTTCAGGGGCATTTTAGAGATTCACTGGTTATCTATATACTTTTAAAATTGTTCAGAAAGATGTGATACATTAATATGATGAACTGTTATCTAGGAGCAAGAGTAAAATATAAGTAAATGACCTTGGAAAAAGCTCGTGATTTTAATATATATTAGTGAGTGAATTGATATTGTTGTGATGTTAATTTTGTAGATTTCAGTAGAAAGGAAGATCAACCTGCATGCTATTGATATCAGCTCTTGTCAAAATGGTGATTTAAATAAAATGAAGCCTATGGTAGTATTAATTTGTATATTTTCCCTTGTTAGAAGTAATTTGAGAGAATCAATGCTGCATCATATTTATCAGTTTGCAGGTGTCTAGAAAACAGGTATGTTTTATTTTCATACTTGTATGTTTGTATCTATGTAGTAAATAAATGATAACAGCAACAGCACTACCAACAGGCTGCATTCCTATTGCCAAGCTTTTCACTGATTGGTTCTGTCTGGGAATGCATTTTATAAGCTTTCATTAAGAACAAATATTCTTAGGATTTTCTGCTGCCAGGTACCTTTAGAACCTGGATCCATACCATAAAACTTCTGAGTCATTGGCTTGTCTGCTAACATATATAGATCCTAGATCCCAGAACTATAAACAGGTAATTAAGAAATCTCTCTCATATAATAGGTGATGGGAAAACTTCCCTGGTCAAAAATGTGAGATATTGTAATTGGTTAATCTTATAACCTTTAATTTGCACTTATTTTTCCTTATAGCAAAGTATATCACCAATTTTAGTGAACTTTCTTTCATTTAATGTTGAATTTTACCAAACTGACAACTTGTACTCTGATGTAGATGTGACTTATCAAATGTGTGCATCTACATTTGAAGTCAGTTTATATTATTTCCTATAAAAACCCCAAGATTCACATAAGTACAAGTCCCATGCTGTGTCCATTTAGTATACAAAGTTTCAAAGAAAACTCTCTATGAGAGTATAACAATTCTTACAATAAAGTTTTTGTCATTTCCCCTTGTGGGCACTATTGTTCTTGGAGTCTCTAGGCCAATCAAAAGTATGTTCTGGTAACACAGACTTGTCACTGTCCTATGGGAAAACAGCGTTCAGTCTGACTAAATCAAATCCAGAGGGACTTGACAGGGAGGGGTGTGTGTAAAGATAGTGACCAAAAAATGTCTGATTCTGATAAGAGAAATAATACTCATATAACGCCATCAGGAAATGGAAAACAGTAAAGTCAGGTGTCTGAGTAGTGTAAGTGCCAAAATCATGAGGTTTTGTGCACTCTCCTCTTGAAGGAAGCCTCTAACCTCACAGATTGTCTGCCAAAAGACAATGCCAAGATACACAGACCCACAAGCGTAAATGTCACTCTAATGCTGTCCTCCTCACCCCTAGGGCACACATATGGGAGTCCTGAAATACATAGACACAGAGAGTCATTCAGAAAGTTTACTGAGAAGTGCACTTAAAATCAATGTGTATGGGATAAATGAAGCAGAGTTGTGTACAGGGTGACATGGTCACAGGTAAAATTTCAGTAACTCCATAGAGGATCTTTGGAATGGCCCACTGAGGTATCCTGTGTCTGTGCATCAAGTGATCCTAACTTTGTGTCACCATGGCAACATTGATTGGATTTGGTTTGTCCCCATGAAGAGAGTATGACATTGGTCTCAGTGTATTTCCTCAAACAAGGAAAATGACTTCAGAGGGACTTAGCAATAAGCTGTCAGATAGTAGTAGCCCTGGCAGTTGTAAGCACATATTTCATTTCTGAAAGGAGAGAGGGATGAAGACCAGTGATAAAGTATGCTGTACTGCAGGAGCCAAAATCCATAACACAGGGCAGGATGGGGGCCTTGTGACACTATACTCACAGGTTCAGTTATCCTAAGACAGAGCAGGTAGATAATTTGTTAGGGTGCATAGGTAACAGCTAAAATCAATCAACAGTCAACCAAAATAAATGGTTTCCTGGAAGTTCCAGTACCAGAGTCAAGATAGAAAATGGTTTGGAACTTGCACATGAAGAGTATGCTGTCATGAGAAGCTCAAAATAGCTGGTAGCAACACTAAGTTTTGTATTCGAACAATGGAAAAGATTGGCTGAGAGAAAGCACAGTTATTTCAGTCTGTAGGGTAGCAGTGATGAAGAGGAAGGCCTTTATAACAATTTGGCACTGGTTTTAGCTCAGGCTCTGTGACCAATATCTCTCATGAGCTCCAAGGATTTTGCTTTCTGCCTGTGTCTTTGTTTTGTTTTCCAGAGACTTTGTTACTACAACTGATGAGGTTTCAAAGAAGAGGTCTCTGAAAGGTAGGAGGCCTTTACCTGGACCATGGATAATGAATTTGTAATGTTGTCACTAAAAAGTATTTTAGGACACTTCAAAGTACAGACTAAGAAAGTTAATTAGCAAAATAAAGAAAGGATAGTACCCAACCAAGAAATGGGCATGGGCACATGTAATAGCAGGTGTGATAGTGTAAAATTGGGTTGGGGGGGGTTGAGCCTAAATTGGACTAAGAATGAGTGTTTTGCTTTGTTCTGGGCACCTGGCACACCTAAACATTATCACTTGGGCTCAGGGACATCAAGGGTTGTTTGTTTATTAAATTTTGGTTAGTATAATACATATATCTGAGAATCAGTTTAAACAAAGGATGGGTTATACTAGATGTTATATTCAAGATAGGTGTCCTACCTTAAGATAATTTTTTTCCTTTGCATACTTTTATGATCCAAGGATTCACTTTATTACCAGGACAAGCCTGATTCTTTAAGATGTCCTGCTTAGTTTCCAGAGTATAATAATTATTTGGTCAAGCTAGCAAGGTGAGAAGGAGAAAACTGTCTTTTTTTTGCTACTTGGTCACCTTAGTGAGGGAATATGAAGCTTACAGAAAGTAGTGTCTGTGAGCTTTATATCAAGATAATCATTAATGACATATGAGAGTGGGAAGGTAATAAAGGGAAGTTAAGAAGGTGAATGTGGACATCCAAAATGGTGGCTAGGGCAGGGAATCAGAAATTCAAAGCTCTGTGACCCCAGAAACCTCCTTGAGACATTGGAGCTACCCTTGGATAATTCTGATTGCTCCTAGCCAAAATAATAACAACCATCATATTGGCACAGACAAAATTTAAAGATTGACTCTTAAGTCAGCATTCAATCTCACCTAAGAGCCACAAAAATCCTTCACTGCACAACCAGCAAAGTGTGTCTGGCGTCTGGCCCTGCTATAAATGTCCCCTGGCTATTTCTCCTTTTTTTTTTCCTTCACCCAACAAGCAGAAGACACAGCATCAATCAGAATCAAACTCGGTGACATCCTGGACCCTAGCTCATGGAAAGCCTCCCTACACTGCACTGCACTGTAAAAAGCAAACCATTTCTCCCTGCCAGCTTGCTCCAAAGTTGCTTGTGTGAACTTGCGAAAGAACAGGTGAGTATCACACACCACACATGACTCCCCTACCCAGCCCATGAAAATAATCCAGTGCAGCATGTGGAAAGACTGAACCCCTGCTCCATGCAAAACTGAAAAACATAAACAGTGAACTGTAATCTAATGCTTACAGTGGAGATGTAGGTGGAATGCTGAACGTGCCCCAGCAAACAGAGGTGGAGCAAGGAGCCAAACTCTCAGTGCCAAGCTCTCAGTGATCTAAGGTAGGTAAAGCAGCAAATGCTGAGAGTGGGAGCTGGGTGACATGTCAACCTCCCAGAGGAGCCACTGGTACCCATAAGAGATTGAGAGAGGCATAAAGGCTGAAAGCAGAGGTGAGGCATCAGGCCAACCTCCCAAAGCAGGGCAAGTGGTGAATTCTGGAGCTGATCTCTAGGACACAGTGCAGCATTCAAAACTGATTTGCCCCACCTTGCTGAGGGAGGAGCTGACCAAACAGACCTGCAGCTGAAGGGCAACCCAGCTGCTGTCTGGTGAAAACAGCTCTGACCATCCTGCACAAGCTGGCAGTCTTACCTCACCTCACAATTCCAACTAATCTTGTGGACAGAAAGAAACACATACTACTTACAAGCCAATCACCTGGTAAAACCACATCAGAGCTTCCACCTGTAGGCCAATACCAAAACTGGACACCTGAGGAAAAACTTCAGAACTTTTACCAAAAGACTGAACTTTCTGTGGTTTCTGAACCTAGTGATTTTATTGGGTTTCTTTTTTTTAAGTTTTACTTTTATTATTCCTGTAGTTATTAACTTCTCCATCACTGTTCTCTTATCACAATTCTTACCCTCTTCACTTTTCTTCCTTCTCCTGTGTTGCAATCCATTGTTCTCCCTCCCAACTACTCTTTCTGCCCTTTCTTACCCACTCTTTTCCCCATCTGCACCTCCCCTTTCTATCCTCCCAAATCTGTCACCACACTACCCCTCCCTCTTACACAATCACCACCCACTGACTAGACTACTGTACCAACTGCACACAACCCCAGACTCTTGCAATCCCTGACACAAGAACCCTCCACTACAACAACAGAAATACATCCAAACACACAAGGGCCACAAAACCTAGCAGCCCACATACCTGTTCTCCTACACACCCATCTCTTTTCCCATCACCCCTTTAGCACCACAATTGCCAGTTCCCCAAAGTCTATAACTAACCTAAAAACCATCAACTGCCCCAACTCTCACAGTTTATAAGTATTATCATGAAAGGGTTTTCTATATAATATGCAAACAACAGCTCTGGCATTGAACCTGTGAAATTGTTATTGTTATATTACACCTCCAGGACACAGACAGTAAGAGCACATCAACCTAGCTAACAACCAAGTCAGTCACAACATAAAAATTAAATCAGGGAAAGAAATTGGGAAATCAAAACCACCAAATAGCTTATCAAAACAGTTGCACAGCACCAAGTGGAGCTATGGGAAGAAGGGATGGAAACCACTCTCCTCAAAAAATAATTCAATACAGGATTCAGTAGGAAATGAAGAAAATGGATGCCCAGTTCCTGACCTCAACAAACCAATGATAAATGTCACTAAAGAGCCCAGAGACACCCACATAAAAACCCTCAAAGAAGAAATTTTGGAAGCTATCACCAAGAAATTCATGGAGAAGTCACTAGACATGGTTAACAAGAATGCACAAGATGCACTCAAGAAATTTCAAGACACTAAAAATAAAGAACACTAGAAGACACAGGAATAAATAAAGGAACTCACAAAGTACTTTAACAAATACCAAAGTGAAACAAAGGACACTATACAAAGGAAGATATATGAATTAAAGATGACAACACAAACCATAAATGAGGAATTGAACAAAGATACAGAAAACCTCACAAAAAAGAATCAAACAGAAATCCTGGAAACAAAAAGTCCTTTTAGTTCAACAAAAAACAGTGGAAGGCCACTCCAGCAACCTAGAACAACTGGAAGATGGAATCACAGAACTTGAAGATAAAATAGAAATTAAAGAAAAATCAGAAGAAATTTTAGTTAAACAACTCAAGAGCTGTGAAAAGAATATGCAAGAACTCAGTGATTCTATCAAAAGAGCAAACCTGAGAATTATGGGTAATGAAGAAGGAGAAGACGTGTAAGCCAAAGGGATATATAATATATTCCATAAAATAATAATAGAAAATTTCCCAGTTCTGGAGAAAGTTTTGCCCATTTAGGAAAAACAGGAAGCCTTCAGGATACCAAAGAGATTTGAACAAAATATAATTTCCCCATGGAGTATTATCATTAAAACAACAAGCACAGAGAATAGAGAAAGGATACTGAAAGCTGTAAGAGAGAAAAAACAAATAACATATAAAGGTTAAACCCATCAAAATAACAGCAGATTTCTCAAAAGAAATCTTAAAAGCAAGAAAGGCAATGAGTGAGTTATTTCAGGCACTGAATGAAAATAACTTCAGCCTTAGGATACTTTACCAAGCAAAACTATCACTCAAAATTGATGGAGAAATAAAAGTCTTCCATAATAAACAGAAACTAAAACAATATATGACCACCAAGCCACCACTATAGAAGACTCTACAAGGAATTCTGCACACAGAAGATGAAAGCAAGCAAAACCACAGGAGGACAGGAAATATCAAACCACAGGAGAAGAAAAGACAAGTAATCAGAGAGTAGCATTGATTCAGCTGCACCTAATCAAATACTTAAACAAAAAAAAAAAACAACTAAATGGAATCGCCCCACATATATCAATATTAACATTGAACATCAGTGGACCTAACTCCCCCATCAAATGACACTGTTTAGCAAACTAGATTAAAAAGGAAAATCAATAATCTACTGTTTACAAGAGACCCATCTTAATCACAGAAATAAACACTATCTTAGTGTGAAAGGCTGGAAGAAGATATACCAGCCAATGGCCCCTGAAAACAGACAGGAGTAGCAATAATCATATTAGACGAAGTAGACTTCAAAATTACATTGGTCAAACAAGATAAAGAGGGATACTTCATACTAATAAAAGGTGCAATACATCAAATGGGAATAACAACTATTAACCTATATGCACCAATGTCAGTGCACCATGCTCAGTCACAGGCAGTGAAATGGAGATGAGGATAGACAGGTGTGGATGTTTGTGGACATTCTCAAGCCCTGGTAGTGAAACGAAGGTTTGATAAACATATATGAGTGTTTGTGGACTTGGTCTGTTACACACAGTGAATTGAAGATGTGATAAACAAGTCTGGGTGTTTATGGATATGCTCTGTCACAGGCAGTGAAATGAAGATGAAGACTGGTCTTGTTTTTTATGAAAATAGAAACAGATAGTGTAACGAATGTAAGGATTGATTGGCATGTCTTGGTGTTATTGACAAGCTAAGCCACAGAAGATTAAATGAGGGTGACTATACACAGTGTTGATGTTTGTGTACATGGTCAATAATAGTGAAATGAACATGAGGATAGACAGGTTTGGGTGTTTTGGTACATGCTCAGTAAAATGCAGTGAAGTGGAGATGAGAATAGACAGGTCTGGGTATTTATGGATGTGCTCCATCACAGCAGGTGAAATGAAAATGAAGGTA